GCCCGAGGGGCAGCAGCCAGCAGACACCTCCCTGCTCCCTCTGTCCCGGGCTCCCAGGGAGGAGGGACCCAGCACGACCAGGAGGGACCCGCACCCACACGGATCCACTGCTGCTTTTTGTCCTTCACCTCCTTCCCTTCCTGAGGTGCGCAGCAGCTGGTGGGCAAAGCCCAAACCGCGGGAACCCATGTACACCGCTGCAGGAGGAGTGGTTCAGGGAGCTGTTTATTAGTCTGACGGGGAGCCGAGTGCTGTATTTTGCCCAAAACAGACTTGTGCAGTCTCTCTGCTGGGTAACTTGAAGGCTTCAGCTATTCAGAAGTAGCTGGAGCAGAGTGGCGCCTACCCAGAAATAGAGAAGTATTTTTAAATGGAATTTATTCAGTGATTTTCCTTAAGACAGATTGTTATGTGTTTGTTGAAGTGTCATTAGAAGCAGCTGGCAGTGGAGCCGGGCCAGGCAGCAGCAAGAGGATGGAAACCATCTTCCCTGCACCCAGGGAGGTCACCCTCACCTCCTCCTACTGCTGCTGCTGCTGCTGCTGCCCGGTCTCTGCACCGGCAGAGAGTGCCCTGGTGCCAAAGCCTGGCCAGTGGCTGCTGGAGGCTCCACGCCACCATCCTGCCATGGCTCTGGCTCTGCTTTCTGCTGCATTCATCCCTTTTCCCTACAGTGCAGTGAAGAACCACAGAACAGAGCATCAAATCCTGCATCACTGGGGTTTGTCTGATAAAGGCTGAATGCAGGGATGCAATTCTCACTTTTTAGGACAGGAAGATAAAGGATTCCCAAGTAGCACTACACCTGAACACCACTTAACAGGCCTTTGGAGGCTGCTCTGGGCACTTCTCAGCTGTTCTTCGTGCAGGTCAGATCACAGGTAGGCATCAGGCTTCAATTACCTCTTTAAACACAGATGCAAATACACTGCTTGCAAGGTTGCATCACTCTTTAGTGTTCCCAGGTGCTTCTGGCAGTGCTGCAGCCCAGAGCAGAGTCCACAGCTCGGCCAGCACAGCCAAACCAGGTATAAAACCACTGCTCGGGGGCTCTGAGTGTGGGTATGTAACAGATCACTGTAGAGGTCTCTGCTTTACTGGGGAGGAATTGGCTCAGCTGTGTGCTGCTGTGGTTGGTCATGGTGTGGTTTTAAGGGGCCAGTTTGAGTTTGCTTCCCACCACCTTCTGCTTGTGGAGCACTGCTCCTTGTGGAATGGGGTCTGGAGAGCAGGATCCAGGCTGCTGGTGAGCTCAGTGAAGAGCAGCGTTGTGGAAAGGCACAGTGGAGCTGGAGCTCTTGTAGCTACTCCATGTGGGCAGACCAGATTCCATGTCTGCAGGCATCCAGGAGCCATGGCCCAGGTGAGTGTCCCTCAAGGCTCATCCCTGCTGGTGGTTGTTCTCTAAGAATGGTCCATTACCCTCACATGGCTTCTTTCCCACTGTGTGTCCAGTGGTGCTGTGGCTGCTGCTCTGCTCCCTGCCCTGGCCACGCGTGTTCCAGCTCCACTCTGGGGCTGCTCTGCCTGGGATGAGCCGGAGCAGTTTTGCCTCCCCAGGTAGAACTCAGCCCTCGGGAATTCCCCTCTTTGAAGCGCTTTTTCCTGGTTTTTGTTCCTTTGTGACTTCAAGACTTTTGTGCTTACTCAGGGCTCTTCCCTGCCCGGGTCGGAGTCTCGGGGCTGAGGTGGGGGCTGGGTAAGCCGCTTTCATCAGGACCTGCGCTGCTCCGGGGGTGCTGAGCTCAGCCCGCAGGAATGCGGCCCCGCTCCCGCCGAGCGGCACAAGCGAGACCTGAGAGCTGCGCTCCTCCGGGGACGGGAAGGCGCGGGTGCAGCCCCGCACCGTGTAACCGGTGAGCGCCGGGCAGCGGAGGGGGGGTCAGCCGGGGTTGTCCTGAGCCCCTTGCGGAAGGAGGCGGCTGTTGCGGCGGCACGGAGCCCGTCGGCCCCTCCGTGGGGGGCGGGGATGATGCACCGAGACTTCGCGTCTTGCTTCAACTCTAATTAGATACTCACAGCTCCCCATGGGAGACGTTAAATGTGCTTCAAACAAGGGAGGATGTTTGTATCTTAACAGACATCAGAGAATCCAGGCATGAGCTAAACCCACACAAAATCAGGCTTTCCTTAGCTGCTGCATGCATGTCTACTAGTTTTTGCCACGATACCAATGGCTTCATTTCTGCTGTGTCCCAGTCCCTGAGCCTCTATGGGGTGAACTGACAACAGGTTTCAGCCCTCGTTGTAACAAGAAGTTTGGATGGAGGATGAGAGATGCTTAAGAAACCCCATGGCAGGGTTTGCTCACCAGGGGCTGCTGGTGATCAGCACCTCTGAGTACATCAAAGGTAAAAAGCAACTGAGAAGCTGAAGGACAGTACTCCTCACACCACCTCGTTCACTGGGGTGATGCCAATACCTTCCCCACCGTTAAGTCTTGCAACTAGTAACTCCTTCCCTTCTTTCTCTCTGCATCCAAGAGGTGTCTACATGTGAGTGAGTTTTTCCTACTATAGCTCCAAAATGAAACCTTGTCATTAGGTTGTAAGCAAGCAGCTCTGTCTGTGACTCCCTGCAGCATAGTTTTGCTCCTGCCTTTACTTGCTGGCCTCTTCAGCACACACAGCACCTGCTCTAACTCTAAGTTACTAGCTAAAATTACCTTCTTGATCTGATGGTCTGAACCTTTCTGCTTGCTACTCCCACATAGAAACAAGTTTTATGCTTGTGTCCTTGTTTTTAAGCTTCTGCCTTGCTCCTTCCTTCATATTGAACTTGCGCTCTTATCTCTGACCTCTTGCCCTTCTCCATAGTCCCTGATGCTGCTCAGGCCCCTTTTTTCTCTTCTCCAGCAGTGACCCACAGACCTTGCTTTAAGATGCTGTGTGTGCTCAGAATACAACACAGTGGGGAAGAACAGGAGGGTTTGGGCATTGCTGCAGCTCTTCCCCATCCCGACCAGTGCCTGCCCTCTGCTTTCATGAGGAGGAGGACTGCAGTGCTTGCTCGAGGAGGAAGCAAAACACAACCAAACATTTTTCAGCAAAACTTGCAGGTGGAAACATGCCTTCAAAGCCTTGCTGTCCACTTCCCAATGGCTTTTCTGTCCTTCTTTGTACATACCCTGCTTTGTTGCAATACATCTAAACCAACGTTACGCTCCTCAGGGCAAGGACTGTCTCTTTGTTGTGCAAAGCCTCCTGCAGCTTCCAACAATCGCTTGGTATTGCCTGATGTGAGGAGGAGGGTGAAGAGAGGCTCTGTGCTTGAAAGGCAGGTGCCATTACAATACAGTGGAGCAGTCTGAAGCAAAGCATAGTGCAGTGATGCTCCAAATCATGAAACTTACTGATTTCACTGTTGAATGCAAAATGATTATTGTATTTTTAGCAAGGCTTGTGCTAGCTGTGGGAAACAAGCCCGCACTGACATGCGAGTGCAGCATGAATGCTGCTGTGCTGGTACGGCTGCAGCAGGAGCAGCAGGCAACCTGCAGCCCATCCATCCATCTATCCATCCATCCTGCAGCTGTCCAGTGCTCACAGCTCTACTGCCTGCCCCCAGTGCTGGAGTGAGAGCGGTATGGCTTAGAGACAGGTCAGCACCACCTGGAGCGTCCCTGCTTGGGCGTGTAGTGTGGGAAGGTTGACCTGGGCTGTTCAGAACAGGTAGGAAATGCAGAAAGGCTGTTTGGAAGTCTTTTCTTTGCAAGAGTTATCTGCAGAGGGATATAAAGAGAAGGCCATACATATCTGAGCGTGGGGTCCCCCTACAGCAAGCCTGAATCACAGCCTCTGCATGCTGACCATGGCTTTGCATGGGACTGTGGGGTGAAAGGATGAGTTTCACCCCTGCTGCAGCCCCGAGGGGTTTAGTGAGCAGCAAACCCAGCCAAGAGCACAGTGGAGGGTGGGATCGTTCCAAGGGGAAGATTACAGGGCCAGGGCAGACCTGTTGTGTTTTGGCAGCACCTGTAAGTAACTGTAAGGGATGGGAAGTCACTTTGCTCGTCTCGCAGCCATGGTGCTTGCACTTGTGTTCCTTCATTGCTGCTTTGAACTTTGCTTCCTCTTTGATTGTTCCCCTAATCAAAAGAAAATGACCTCGATTAAGGTATCTGGCACAGCAGTGTTTGTGTCGTATGGAGACTGCTGTGTGCCTTTGGAAAAGCAGCAATGCTGAGGCCTGATTCACATGGGAATGACAAGAGAAAGGGGTGGATCGAGCTTCCCGAGTGCAGCGAGCCCAGTTTGATTCATGCAAATCAGGGGTTTTGTGTAATGTGAGCTCCACCTGTTTGAGATAGGATGGGAGACTGACACGGACCTTTTCATAGCGCTTTGGAAATGGAAAGGGCGTCTCCATGGCGGAATGTTTACCCAGGCGTGTTCATGCATGTTCGCATGGAGGAGCACGCATCTCCTACGTGTGCTTACGGTGAGCCCCAGGAACCTGCACGAGCGGCGTCTGTCGTGACAGAAACTGCTCTTGGCACACGAAGGCTGCTCGGTTGGTTGGGGTCTGTGCTGTGTGTTCTCAGCCTCCAGCCTTCTGAGCTGCTGGCCTGGTATTTGGAGAGCAAATTTTAATAAACACAATACATTAGTCTATCGAGAATGTTAAGCTTTAGAAGCACTGGCTGTGGATTACAAGCAGATAGATAGCCTTGGCAGAATGGAGGCAGAAAGCTTAGATTAAGTCCCACTCAATGAAACTGCATTTAATAGTGGAAATGTACTGATATCATGGAAGGTGAAAGAAGAGAGATTTTAACTCCTGTTCTGTGTGCTTGATACAAACAGGTAGCAGGAGATGCAGTCAATGCTGATGCATTTTGCACTAAACCTACTCTCTGTTTTTTCCCCTTGGAAGCAAAGATGAGTCCCAGGTGCTCAGCTGGGCCTGGGCTTGGTGAGAGAACAAGGCACTTTCCAGTAAGGTACCAGTCTGGGGTCACTGGTGGGGATCAGTGGGGATGGGCTGTCCTGGGGAGGTACCTTGGGTGCAGGTTTGTGTGAGTGCTGAGGGGGTGCAGTCCCGGAATGAAGCTGAATGCAGCGGCTGGAACCCACATCCTGCAGAGCCATGGGGTGCAGAGCAAAGCCCCGTGACCAGGGTGACCAGGACAGGCGCCCGGACCCTTCTGCTCCGCACCCCAGCAAACCTCTGCTCTGCCTGATGGAGGCATCGCTGCACTGAGCTCCCTGAGCACAGGCAGGGGATGGCAAACGAGCCGCGGATGGGGCCACTGGCGGCTCTCAGTAGGGCACTCTCTGTTAAACATGAAAAGCAAACCCAGATTGGTCGAAAGGGCCTGGAAGGAAGCAGGAGTTACAAATAGGGACTGAAAGCTAAAGAGAGAAAATCTTAATTAGATCTCCACAACCTGTAGAGGAACACATTTGGATTAAAATGAAACGGAGCTTTGTACTCTCTGGATTCAGTGCAAGAACGGAAGAATTATTCACATTTGCTATTTGTGAAGCTGGATTGCTTTTTCTGTGAACTTGTCTTTTTAACTTCTCACCTTGTCAGAAAGCTGTGAAAAGCTGCTGGGATGGTGTATTTGGGGTAGTTCTTATCGCAGCACATAGCAGAACCATTTCCATGGTTTCAGAACATGGGCAGAGTTCCCTATTTAATCTGATCCTCCCCACATTAACTCCTTTCCTCTTGTGGCAAGCCGGTCTGTCCACCGTTCACCCACCTGCCTCATCGTTCACTACCGCTGATGTTTTCTCTTTGTGACTATCTATCAATATTTAATAGGGTGGTGTCAGTGTTGCTGTAAGATGAGAGGAACTACCAGAAACCTTGAATTATGCATTGTGTGGCTGGGGGAAGCTGGGCAGAGTTTTCTTTTGGACCCAGCGCACTTGGAGTTGATCTCCAGGAGCCGCAGCGAGAAATCCCGGTAATGGAAGAGCCCCAGATGAAGCTCAGTGCTCGGCACGAGGGGAGGCCCCGCAAAGTGAGGTTCAAAATATCATCTGCTTACAGCGGCCGGGTGTTGAAACAGGTCTTTGAGGACGGGCAGGAGCTGGAGCTCCCGGCCAAGGAGCACTCCCGGCTCTTCGTGCGGCACTGCTTCGAGCCGCGGGACCATTGTGCTGCGGAGCTGCCCGAGCGCAAGCTGCTCCCCCCGGCCAAGCTGAGCGCGCAGCGGGTCAGCATATTCAAAGAGGGGCAGATGCTGGGCCTGGGCAGCACCTCGCCTCTGCTCGACCGCCCGCCCGCAGACAGCTCCGGCCAGGTAAGTGCTGCTGCCCTGCCGGGACCGGTGCATTTGGTCAGGCCAGGATTTAAAGGGGTCTGTACCTCCTAGCCCCACGCACGCTCTGCTCTGCCCGCTGCAAATGGCAGGAGCTGTGTGCTCGGCAGCAGCCAGCAGCAAGTGAACGGCATCTGCTGGGCTCCAGCTTCCCAGTGGGTCCATTTGCATCTCTCCATTTTGCAGACCAATATTTCCATATATATCAGTATCTGTACATAGTAATCCTGACACATCTAACCCAGGCAAATGAAAGGTGGATATTATCTTAAATAGTTATATTTAAGACATTGAAAGTGCACGACTTCAGCTGGCGAAAAGGTTTAGTGTCAACAGTGTGTATCAGTGAGACTGAGCCAGATCTGCATTCCCTGGCAGGTCATAATTCCCCTTTGGCTACTTTGGAGATCCCAGTTCAGTCTCACTGAATGTTTTGTTAACATATAATTAATGCCATTGATACCAAACTGTCTCTTTATTCCTACTAAAAAGCCAGTACATGTGTAATATATGCTAAATTGGTTAATACACAGGGATTATGCTCTTACACAGGTAGGAAACCCGTGTATTCAAACTACATTTAACTGATATACTGGACATCTTCTTTAACTGAAAACACCACATCATCATGACTCCTGCCAGAGCACCAATGTGATCTTATCCACATATGAATTTGTTCTGCATTCCTGGGGAACGCTCATCTCTATTCCCTGGTTTCCATAACCATAAATACCTTGAGTAATCACAGTGCCCAGTGTCAGTGTTGTTTAGTATCAACATACATTTGGTCTGTGGAGACACCGAGTCTGTGTAGCAACAGTGAGGCTTTAAAGCCTTTTTTAAAGGGGCAGGATCTGGCCTCACTGGCCCCGTTCCCAGTGTGCAGTGGGTGCCTGTTTCCCAGGAGAGCTGCTGGCCCATGCGACCCTGGCAGGGTGTTTCCCTATGGGAATGTCTCCTGCATCGCTGCTTGACACAGATACTTAAAGGGAACTAGGAAGAGTGTGTAAAGCAATAGGCTGTGGGAGCTGCCACCTGATCCCAGGTGCAGAGGGGAGAGGGCAGGGTAGCAAAGTGCTGTGTTCAGAGGCATGCTCACCCATACCATGCTTTGCATCCCAATCACTAGAATACAAACCCAAGTAAGCTCAGAGATGGTTTAGGCTGGCTCTTCAGTGTCAGGAACACAGTTCAGCATTAGATAATGAGTGGGGTTTATGATCTGACCCTTTTTCCAGCATTAATAAGTTACACAGAAAAGCTTTATTTTACATCTGAAAAATACCTTCAAAGGCTGCAGAATAGGTGGCTTTCATGGGGAATTTCTACTTCTGGCAACACCCATGAAAGCCCCCTCTAGCTCCCCCATCCTCCAGCTACTCAACCTTCAAAGCATGGTAGGTCAGTCCCCAGTGCAGGGGTTGCTTTTCCATAGGTGCCAGCACCACTGCTCTTAGAATTGTGCCCTCCTTTTCTCTTGCATATGGGTTGGAATGAGAATTTACACACCGAGAGCCTTCCCCACCCAGAATGGGACATTCAAGTGAAGTTCCTAAGGCCTGACTGAAGTTCTGGTCCGATCTGCAGCCCATCTCTCTGAGCCTTGTCCTGCTCCAGGTGGTGGGGAGGGGGGTCATGCCACAGTGCCAGCTGAGCCCATGACCAGGCAGAGGGGATGATCTGGAAGCCTGGGGACCACCAGTGGTTGTAGAGTGTATTTGTACAGGTGAGACTGATAAGATCCTTCTCCAGCCTTCCCCAATTCTAGACTTTGGCAAGATCATCATCTACACAAACAACCTGAAAATCATCCGTGCGCCGATGAACCAGAAAGAGCTCATGAGAAGAATCATCCAGACTGAGGGAATAAATGACTGGGCTTTCATATACCGGGAAAAGAAAGAAAAAATTGGTGGTGGACATAGAAAAGATGTGGAAAAAAAGGTTGCCTGCAACCAGTATGTGCAGGTAAGAGAATGGCAAGTGTTATTTTTCTCCTAAGGCTGTTGGGTTTTACAGTTATTTCCAGCCAAGCCCCATCTATTCCTGCATCTGGCACTTAACTAAATTTGAATGAAAAGCATGGCTTTGTTCCTGTTTCCACTTGAGAGATAACTGACCAGTGTTGCACTGCAGCATGTGCTCTGGGGGCCACTGTCCTCTTTCCAGATGCTCAAGTCTCCTACTTGATTCTTCCCCTAGAGGCCACTGACGCTGATGTAGCTTGGCTTAGGTCCATCCTTTGTCACCCTCTTCCACTGGAATAAGAGCAGGCCAGGGTTTCTCCAGCCTGACCAGGCTAAACACAGCTGCTCTGTGGCTGAGACTGCCGGAGGCTAACATTTTAATATCAGTCGAAATAAGGTTGTGCCTTCCACTTGTTTCTCATGGGTTAGTCTTTGTTGGTCAGAATCCCAATTAGTTCGACCGTAATTTGATCCCACAAAACATCGCGTTGTCGTGCAGGGCAAACATGAAGCATCCCAGTTTCACAGATCTGGTGCAGGTCACCCTGGTTGTCCCACACCCCTGAGCCTTGCCTGTGGCTTCATGCATAAAGACCCCCCAATAGCCCTGAGAAACCGAGGAGCAACGTTGGCCTTTGCCAGTTTTGAAGGAAACCTCATGTTCAGAATAAGGGCTTTAACATAAGAGCCAAGGTTCATCTACTGAGGACCTATCTGAGCCATCAGAAATAACCTCTGATGTTTGAGAGAATACATGTGGAGAGGGACCTCCATCAGGTAACTGATTGCCTTCCTCCAGTCGCCCTCACTGACGAGCACGCTTTGGAGGACAGCAGCTCCTGTAAGGCACTGTTCCAGAGAAACTTGTGAACCTTGGAAGAACTTATGTTCTCCTTGGTGTTTGGGAACAAAAAGTAAAACTTGAAGGTCCTAAAACTATGTTTTCAAGAATAATTTTGGACTTACTCTACATTAGTGTTATGAGCATTCGTTTAAAGATGACCAAACCACAGCAAGGTTATTCTTTTGAGAACGGAATTAATTTGGATGATCAAATTCATAAGCAGGCACCAATATGAAGCATATCAGGCACCAATTCCCTTTGTCTTAGTTAAACCCTCATTCTATAGTGCCATGTAAATTAGAATGGCTGCGCAGGAACAATGCATGTCTCTGAACCGAGTGAACCTGCACTGGGCTGTACTCTTCCTGATGCAGATATTTGATATCTCTGGGCTCTGTGGGAGCACTGGGTTTTGAGCTGGGGTCTGAAAGAAGCAGTCTGGCATCCTGGAGATAGGTGCAGGCACAAGGGACAGCTTGAAAGAAGCTGGGCCTGTTGGTGTTCAGGGATGTGTGGGGAGAGGGCAAGGAGAAACGCTCAGAAAATGAAGCTCCAAACTGAGGATGCAGAGCCTGGAGGAGGGGTGTGTTAAATGACAGGAAGCCAGGTGTTGTGCAGAGCCTGGCAGGTGGAGAAATGTGAGTTTGAACGTACTGTTGTAAGCTGCCATGTTAACTTCTCATCTTCTAGAAGCATCCACAAATTGTCCCCTTTTACTTGAAGATCTTGCTGTTGAGAACTGAGTATTATTGATAGAGTGGCATGTCAGGAGCAACGACTACTTACAAGACCACAAGACAGCAATTCTCTCTTTCAAGCGTGTTACTGACTTTGGTGTCTGATACCCAGTAACCGATCTTTCTTGTGATCTGTCTCTTTCAGGAAGGAGATGACGAACATGGGTGCTCCCAGTGTAAGGGGTCGGGCTCTGCCCCTTGCTCCCTGTGCCATGGAAGCAAGTTTTCAATGCTGGCAAACAGGTTCAGAGAGTCCTACCGGGCCCTGCGCTGCTCGGCATGCAAGGAAAGCGGCATGCAGCCCTGCCACATCTGTGCTGCCTGACCAGCAGCGCTGCTGCGACCTGCTGCGGAGACTGAGCTGTTCCACCTGCGGGCAGCCCCGCTGTAATGCAGGGTTTAGGAAGTGGGAAAGGCAAATTGCACATGTATCACCTCTGATACCAACTGTCCCTCCTGTCTGTGCCTGCCTGCCCACTGCATCAGCCCAGACCCCAGGGGCTGCAGGGTGGATGTACGCCAGGTCAGGTCCTGACCCATCAGTAGCATTACTGAATGCAGCAGGAGGAGGCGCAGCTTGGGCAGGGTACGTGTCAGGGTGTGAAGTTGTCTGTAGCACAGCAGCACGGTGCCTCCCCTGGGTTTAACTTGCTGAATGATTTAGAATTACACTGGCTTTTGTAGTTAACTCTGTCCCTGCCCTGCACTGTCACAGGCATTTCCCAAAGACTATTTTTCCTTACATATGCTTTAGTGGTCCCAGTGGTTCCTTTGGGGTCTGATTTGTGGGAAAGAATTGAAAGCCCTTCCCAAACCTGGAGCTATAAAAATGTACCATACTTTATTAGTACAAAATGGAGTTATTAAGTTTTTAGCCTACTTATGCGGAAGTGCTGAACCAGAATTCCCCTGCACGATGCTCAGCACTTTTCAGGATCAGGCTGATGGTGAGCAGCACTTCTGTTGCTTAATATTAATCCCATGTTGTAATCTGCAGAAGGTAAACTCTAATTAGGTGAGGTGAAGCAACGATGGGGGGTACCCTGCAGGCGGCCCCTGGTGGCACAGAGCACAGGGGCTTCACCAGGCTGAGGCAAACAGGGGAAACGGTATTTTTTCCCCAAAGCATTGACTTATTACATTATATATTCACAAGCAATGTTAATGCAGCCTTAACTTGTGTACTGCCTCTGAGACTGATGAGTTAAGAGCCTGCTCACATGTACTTCGTGCTGAGGTTGCAAGCCTAGACAGGGAAATTTATGGCCAAGTTTCTATGGTAGGTTATAAGATTTCTCTGCAATACTTCAGTGGTTAGGAATTATGCTGGTTTAGCTCCGGGACTTCCACAGGTCTCCTCCTGCAGCTGTTGAGAGAGTACCAAGGGTTTAATTTCCAGAAAAGTGCATAAATCTACAGCAGGTACTTGATTGGCTTCATTTATCACAGCAGGATCTGCAATACAAACACACGGGGTCCTTGGGGTATTCACGGAGGGCAGAGGAGACCTCGCAAATCAAGTGGATCTCCTCCCTCCAATTTGACCTCTTTGATCTCAGTTTGCTGGGTCTGTCTAAGAGCTTGCTGGCAGGATACGAGAAGAGCAACTAGGTGAAATTGTTGCCCGGCAGTTTTAGTGTTTACAATGACCCAGATGCAAATATGCATTTACAAAATCAGTGTTTATTGTTCTTCGGTAATCACGATGTTTCTCAACCACTGTAACTCCTCCTGGCTGTGTCAGCTATTCCCATTCATCCCCACGCGTCACCGGGGCGATGCTCGCAGCCGAGCTTTTCCCTTATCCATCCCGGATCCCTCAGTGCACTGGGGACCGCAGGGATGTCCGTGCCCGGGGCCGGGCTGCAGCGGCACGGTCAGAGCGGCGCTCCCAGCACGTCCAGCACACGGGGTTTAACACCTGACTCCATTTACCCAATAAACGCTCTTATTTCACAGGGGAAGGAGCTCTGAGCATCGGGGGGAGGCTGACGTTGAGGCAAGGGGTGGAAGCGCTGCCGGGTTCAGTCCCGCTGCAGCCAGCGGTGCGCACTGCAGGCTGAGGAGCAGCCCCGGTCCGCGGCTCCCCGCGGCCGCGCACAGGATGGTGGCGGCGGAGTGGGGCTGGCAGCGCCGGTACCGGCACCCGCTCCGGTGACTGCGCGGCTGCCTCCGCAGGAGCCCGGGGCCGGCCCCGCGGGGCGGGAGCGCCTCACGGCAGCGTTACCGGAGGCTCTGCCCCGGCTCCGGTCCTGCAGCGCACGGAGGGGAAGGCGGCGCGGGCCGCGGGCGCTGCCGAGCTCTCCTGCGGGTCCCGTGCGGGTGCCGGGCCCTCCCTGCAGCTCAGAGCTTGCGCTCCCGTTGGTCGGAGCTTTCGCTTAATGCTTGGGTAAAAGAATGACTTCTGTTTCCCTGCCCTGGCAGGGCGCGGACCCCTGTGTCGCTGCTCAGTGCAGTGCGGCGCTGGCCTGGTAGCGCAGCAGTTGTTAGACTGTTCCATGGGCTCTGAATTGAAAACGATTTGCAGTAGCAGTGGACTGTGTTAGTGGCAGGTAAACAGCTTTTCAGTGCGGTATCTGCTCCTGACAAAACAGCATCCTGCTGAGTTCTTCTGAGCACAGCTCTTTCAGACCTGAGCTCCAAACTGCATCGACGCTGTCCTTTCTGCTGGTGTTTCCCTTTGAACAGCAGCACACTAATAGGAATTAATTCTAATCTTTATTAAAGCTGGTGCTGGGCTTTTGCCCTCTAGCTGTGACTGGTGTTTGCGAATACCAAGGTGAAGAGCAGCACGGGCTCCACTGTATTTGTTTTGGCCATGTGTGTTTAAACACTAAGGGTAGAAAGGAGCAGCTGCATAGAGCAGGGCATTTCCCTGGGATGACTCCCTGGGCTTGTGAATGTTCTCCGCAGGACAAGGTGTAACCAGTGTTGACTTTGAGCCGGTTCAGCCTCGATGCAGCCAGCTTGAAACACAAGGAAGGATTTTTGCCTCAGCCACTGCCAGTTCTCAGCCTGCTGTTATCAGAGGTCTGGCTTTGACAGAGGCAGTGCTCAGAGGAACCTGGAGCAAGGTGAGCGTCCAGCTCTGCCAGCCGAGCACTGGGTGACTGCTGCAGAGCAGAGCTCCAATTCACGGGCAGTGCTGTGGTGACCTGTGGTGTGCAGCTCCCAGTGATGCCGTCCAGGTGCTGGGAGGCAGAGAGTGCCCCTGATAAATAACCTTTTATTTAGAATGGTCAGGTCCTAAACCTGGCTTGGTTCTATGGGTTAGGGCAGGAGTGGAAGATGGTATGTTGTGCTTCTACCAAGAAACAACATGTTTTTCCTGTTTGCTGGAAGCCTGTCAAGGCAACACTGGGCTTGCTGGTGTCACCAGGCTCCTGCACGCGATCTCAGTGGATCAGCTCCTGGTCCTCAGTGTTCATCATGTGAGGGGATGACTGATGAGATACCCGAATCGCTACAAGATGTGCTGGTGTGGGTTTGTTTTAATTGGCTGCCTAGTTTTCTCTTGGTGGTTGATGGCTCAGTACAGAACAGAATTGGATCCCTGCAGTGGTGTCCTGCCTTGTGATGGAACCCAAACTGTCAGGCCTGTGAAATTCGCTTCCAAAGGGAAAACCCCAAATATCCTCACAAGCTGAAGTGCCAGAACTTTGAACCGTAAATGCAGGCAAAGACGCTTACTCTGGAGTCTTTCTGGTTCTCTTCTGTTTCTGTCAGCCATCTACAGCTGCTCTTTTTCTCTTTTGCCTTAGAATAGGACTGTGCAAAGACCCGTTTCAGTTTTCTGAACGAAAAGAAAGGTAAAAACCAAACTCTTCCCTGTGTCCCTGCGGCAGGAATCCCGAGCTGTGTTTGGCAGGCTCGGGCAGCCAGCTCTGCTGACCGTGTGGCTTAGACTGCCACACGATGGCAAACCCGCGGATGTGCGCTGAAAGACTCGTTTGAAGGCTCTGGAGGGACTCAGTAGAGGAAGCAGGGTACCTTTGGCTGATTTCCTGGAGTGCTAGAGGCAGTTAGAGGTGAGATGAGGAGTGGAGTCAGTGCTTTTGATCGTGAAAGGTCTGAACCAGGGCACAAATGCAAATGGAACTTGTATTCTGTAGTATAAACGAGTCCATATGACTTGAGAAAGGCAGTTGGAGGTGAACAGTGAAGCTAATTCCGACAGCCAGCGGCACAGAGCAGGAAGGTTAAAATAATCCTCATTTGTATGTGGCAGCAAAGTGCATTGCATGCTTTTAACCAGGAATTTGATATGATTGAAGAAATAATTGCCCTAGTTACTCATAAATGCCACAGTTAAAGTTGACTTCAGGGCTCCTGCTCTTGTTCTTTCTGTTGCCACTTTGCAGGTTGAACCTTTGAATGTTGTTATGCCGCAAAACAGGAAGGGAAGGTGACACCAGACCAAAGCAGTTGGGGTGCTTCAAGGGCACGTTTGTGCCAGGACATCTCCATGTACTGCTTTGACTGTGGTGTTTTGCATGTGGGCTGCAGTTTATGATCTCTGACAATGGAGCATGAAGTCACGCAGACTGTGGGAAGCATTGGTGTGGGCTTTCTTATTTCTGTATACTGCATTGGACCCCTCTCCCCTGGGGCATGTCTCAGGTTTGGTTTAAAACATCCCTGCACTGCAGCAGAATTACACCCACCTTCTCCAGAAAACCATCGTCTTCACCGCAGAGATGTGTGCTCTGCTTTTGTTACATGGCATGAATGAGAGCTCGTGGTACCCTGATGGACAGCCTGCACGTCAGGTGCTGGTGTGTGTATCTGGGTATGTCAGTTCAGAAATATGCTGGGAAACGTCCTGCATTTGCCACGTGTTTCTGGTGAGCACAGCCCCTCATGGTGGCTCCGGAGCACATGCGCTGGCACAGCACCGTCCCCAGGCTTAGGGCAGGTGTCACCTCAAAGTGAGCCCGTGAACCGCACGTCAAACGCATGGTTCAGGTGTGACAAACTGGTCTGTGTTTGAAATCAGTGTGTCTGCATGGCAAAGGGTTTGTATTCATCACTCTTCAGCACAGAGGTGATCTGTGCAAGGGCAGATCCATTTGTTTCTGTTTATTCACAGCTGCCACCCTTCTGAACCAAGGACCAAGAGGAGGGCTCTGCAAGGGTCCCACTGATGCTGCAGCATCACTGCTTCATTTCCTTGCAGTCAAACCCAAACAAAGGGGCAATATTTATGAATTGAAATATTGTTATTTTTGCAAGTCTTTGAGGCTGTCATTTTGATTTATGTTGGCTGCATTTGATCTTGCATGTAAAACCAGCCCTTCATTGCTTTGGAATAATTCATTTTTTATACAAATCATTATCTGTAA